GATTTTGACCTCATGCTCATATGTAGATGACAAAGAAAATGGCAAATGCCTCACATATATTTGGATGTGTGTATTTATGCATTAAGAGGTTCATACACTATGATCCTTAAAGATTTACTCTGATTTGTGCTACTTCCACAATCCTAGTCTGCAAGCTAGATATTAGGGCTGCTTAGCAAGGACAGATCACTATCGGTACTATTCTAATTAGCCAGACCAAAACCCCCATTTTTTCGTCTACGGTGGAGTTAATCAGGCCATGCAGTACTCGACTTATAGTGACAGTTTACTGATACTCTCAAATCTTACGATCGTCCGATCACTGGACTCATCAATATCATTTTGTTTTCTTGTGTGCTTTCTGCATGTCCACATGCTCTCTAATTGTGTGGTTGAGTGTCCTTGAATCATGAAGTGACCTGGTCATTTCTCACATAAAAGTTGAACCGGTTTTTGCTATCAAACATTTTCCCCGTTTCTGATAGGCCGCTATTACGCCGTTGTATTTCAATGCTTAGCCAATTACTATTGATGGACTACGTCATCAAACCAGGTTTGTACAGAGGTAAAGCTCAATCCATAGTTGATGCGCCGGTCCAAGATGGATGTCTTTTCTTAATATATCCTCGTCTTTCTTAATAACGGAGCCAGGCGAATTTAATTAAAAGCTATACTGAGGCTCAGATCCAAGCGACTTTCTTGATTGTAATAATATAATTCATTCAAGAGAAAATTTCAAGAATATACCAATAATTCTTATTTTTTACAAATAATTATTTATGTTAGTAGTATCTCTGACTTCTTATTTCATTAAGGGCTGTCTGCTTCTTTGCACTTATTGTTTGTTTATTCTCAGACATCGTTTATTCTAATTTTAGTTCCATCTGGACTTAACCTGGGATCGAAAGCTACTCTCGCTGATATTTTGTAGTTCGTTGCTAAATTAAACATCGCAGGCAGTATTTTTATCTATCCAATCAAACATAAATTTGGCGACCTTTGGGAATGATCCTCATTCGTCACTATCTCCTTTTGATCGTTTGGATGTTTAACGACTAACGCTTTTTCGAGATTAAGACCCAATTGTGCGTAGCTTGTCAATCAACCATAACTGGTTTAGATAATTTTAGTTAGCTTTTCTGCACTTACAACCTACGATTTATTTTCGTCCTTCAAACCATAGTCCCATTTGCATCAGTGTAGGATAGAAATGTATGCAATTTTAGAATCCTGTAAATGTCTTTTATGCTTTTATATCGGCCCAACCAGCTCTTAAACTTTTATGTAGACTTGATACTTTAACATCTATGTGCTTATTTTAACGAATCATTTATCAAAGACATTGCAATAATCTGGATTATTTTTGTGTTAATAAGCATATGCACTTAATGAACTTGCTTTTCCATTCTCCTTTTTATTTCCTTATGCTGAGTACACATATATTTCTGTTGGTATGCACACAAAAGCCTGCAACTAGGCACTCGTAGCAATGGTAATTCGCTCAGAGCTGACGTCCCACCAGACATTTGCCACTGCAGATATTAGTGATGCATGGCAGCCTAAAATCCTATGTTTATTAACTGTATTTAGCATCCCGGGACTACTACATGTCTGCTTCTCCATTGGCGAATATTTGTCTTTTACTAAGAGTTCCCTGAATCATCTATTCGATTTGTTTTCTTTTTCAGCTACTACCTAGGAAACGCCCCATGTATGAATATATATGAAGTAGTGAGTGTGAAGGGTCGTAAGTGTTTAATTGCTTGCGTAAAAAGAGTGTGTTTACGTGAATTGGAACTCTAACGCAAAATGGGCAGTTTTTTTACCGTTGACATCTAATTTTTCTGAAAACGTTTCATGTACTCTATTCTCAGCGCATTCAATCTATTTTTTGCGGATGGACCTACCTTCTGGATCATGAAGTCGATCTTAAGCAGAAAATTAGCCTTATTACTTCTCGTTAGCTGTCATTTTTATGTGGAGTTTTGGTCGATCTGCATTACTGCTGCATAGGACAAGCTAGCTGTTATGTAGCATAGCAGAGGGCAATCATTTTTAAAGTCTAAGCATTAGACTGGCATGTTGGCTTTTTGACTCAGTATTCATTCTTTAGATAACCTTTATACTTGCGAAATGTTCTTGAAATTGTCAATCACATTTATTTGCGTTGTCCTAATTGACTGAGCGATGGCTAATTGAGGCTGAATCTTTGTGGGCTGTGGGAAAAATCCAAGGGACGCAGTGCCATACAAAAGTCGAATATCCTATCAGCTTACTTCCATTCATTGTGATGTCTTCGTCTTGTTTATTTTTATTCCCAGGTTTATCTTCGTCTATGGGCTGAGCAACTTGATTGTCCAATCTTATCAGTTAACTATTCTCTGGCTCCTGAAGCGCCCTATCCACGCGCTCTGGACGAATGCTTTTATGCATTCTGCTGGGCTGCAGAAAACCGAATGCTACTCGGTTGTCGACCAGACGCACGGATTGTCATCTGCGGCGACTCGGCAGGTGGCAACCTTGGTTTGGGCGTCTGCCAACGGGCCATCTACTTTTCCCTTAATGCTCAGCCGGCTGGGATACTTGTCGCCTACGCTCCTACGCTAGTTGCCCCGGTGCCGTCACCATCGAGAATGCTCAGCCTCTGTGACCCTCTTTTGCCGATGGGTATTATGCTTAGCTGTATTGCCGGTATGTTCACTACTCTTCTGGCTGAAATCACGCATAAGCAAATGCTTGTTCAGGGCTTCTTAGAATAAAAGGTCTACACATTTCGATTGTTTGTGTGTCTCATTAATTATTTTTCATAGCTTAACTATGGAGTCTGTCGTTCTAACCTATTAGCACACTTCGCTGCTAATGAATATGTTTATTTATTTATATAATTTATATTAATTTTGACTTTTCTGCCTTGTTCATCGGAATCTTGTAACTATCACATGTAAGATATGATGACCAAGATGGTGTGGCTTTTTGTGTGGTCGCAGTCTCCTTTCGTTATATAGAAGTTGTTTGACCTTGTTTTCGCAACTTGGTCATAT